TTTCTTTCTTCTACAGTGTCGTAAAACAACTAAGGTAAACCAATCCTATTCGAATTTATTATACCCTAATTTAGGGCACGAACTTACGCACGGTTTTGATGATCAGGGAGTACAATGGGGTCCAACTGGAGCGATTAGCTTCCGAAGCTGTAGGGAATGTCTTGGTTGGATGGATAAGAATTCAACTGAAGGCTTTAAAGCAATGTCTCAATGTGTAATAGACGGTCAGTCTCGAAGGACAGCTAGAAATCTTGTGATTGACTTATATGACGAATAGTTCAGAGTATGGACAGTTTTGTCCGCTAGATCCGAGCAAGTACACTCCTAATTGTGTGAATGGAGCACTAACACAGGGAGAGAACATAGCAGATAATGGAGGTAAACGCGTTTTTCAGGTAATCTTAAATCTTGAAGTCCTTGGTCATAGGTATTCATGCTGCATACCGCGCCTATCGCGACCATATCAATCTAAATGGACCTGATCCATTGTTGCCTGATCGCTTTTTCGAGCAATTCTCACATGACCAGTTGTTCTTCCTCAGTTTCGCTCAGGTCTGAACTTTGTACCCAAATTACCGGATAATAACCCATAATTTCTTGCCTGCAGGTTTGGTGTGAAAAACGCCGTACTGACGATAGACTCTACCAACAACTAATGGTTGATCCCCATTCACCTGCTATGTACAGGGTATTCGGTACACTACAAAACTATCCAGCGTTTAGAGTAGCTTTCAACTGTCCAGCAGGACTTCCCTACACTCCGGAAAAGCACTGCAATGTTTGGGTGCCTAACTATACTCCATGAGATTTTTGCATTTTGAGATTTTGCTCTTACGTTGATTTGAATATGTGAAAAGTGCATTATATCGTAAGTTTGTACAATTATGAAAGAATTGATGATTTGCCATTTGCCATTTGCAAATAAAATTAATATAAACGCACTTAACGTAACTTCCGTATTTGACGGAAATACTCATAAACGAATGCAAGTAAGTTAGCAAACATTTTAGTAGAAAACCATCGCTCTATTACTACATTTATGTTTGAACATAAAAATCAGATTTATTTAGAATTTTTTGGCTTCACAACTTA